CCAGCAAACCTGGTCCCCACCTTCTTTTTTTTTTTTTGTGGCATACATCTTGCTTGCAACTTTATCTGCTTTCCTATCTACTTCTGCTGCCCCATGCCACATTCCCACACCTGAGCGCCCCCTCCTCTTCTGAGGGGAGTAGCTGCCAGCTACCCCAGCTCCTCCTCTCCCTGTGGCTGGCATAGTCCCCAGGGTACCTTGCTGCTGCTGCCCTATTCTCTTGAGAGCCAGGTGGCCAGTTTTCTACCTCCTCCTCCTTCTTTTTCTCACTTCCAGTCTGCACCTGTACACAGGTGAGGGTCTTTACTTGCGGACCCCAGTAAAATGTTTAGACAAGAGCCAACTGTCCGTACTGCTACCACATGGCTGGTCCTCCAAGAAGGTGGGAAGGGCTGCCATGTGGTTGAAGTTCCAATGGCTTGGCTCACCCTTTCCCCTGGGTAAGAAGGCTCTCTGCTTGCCCACTACCAGCCTGGGTATTCACTGTCTCTGTAGGAGGTAAGTTCTTTCTAATCCTGTACTGGAAGCTGGTCTCTTGTTCCTAACCCCTCCCCCATCTGCCCCTTGGCCCTGGTCCTCTGCAGAAGCTAGGTTCCTGTACTGCCTTTGTCCTGCCCTTGCTACCTGATCTTGAGCAAGTTATGTCTCCTTTCTGGACCTCTCTCTTGATATTTCTTTTTCTATGAGCCAGGAATGGGATTGGGGAGGCATGGAGGAGGGAGCAATCCAAGAGGAGAGGAGGAGGCCTGAGATCCAGTCTTCAAACCAGGTTTTCACCTTGCTAATGTCCTGGTGCAGAACCCTGTAGGTGTAGGCCGCTACCTCAACGTCTGGTTGATGGAGACAAAGGACAGAAGGCAGCGATACCGATCTCTATACATGGGCGAATCCAAGCGCTACCCCTCGGACCCAGCCTGGGACATGATTTTGCAGTGAGTACACCTGGGGATCAAGGGAGGCAGAGTGGAGGGTCCCCCATGCTTGATTCTCATGGGAATATGGCTATGGCCCTCATGCCACCCAAACAGAAGAGTCAGTGGAGAGAGGTTTTGAATTCAGATCCTGGCTCTGCCCCTAACTAGCTGTGTGAGGAGGTGCTTCACCTCTCTGAGTTTCATTTCCCTTAGCTGTCACATAAGGAGAAGATGGAGATCTAAATGAGATGATCTGTCTAACACTCCTGATAAGGAAAAGATACTCTGCCATCCTTGACTCCTCCACCCACCATCCACAGGGTCTGGGCTCTGACCTGGGTAAATCTCAGTCTCTTGGTGTATAGAGTGGGGTTGGGATTGCATTGTATCTATAGATTGCTTTGAATAGTTTTGACATTTTCACATATTAAGTCTTCTTATCCATGAGCAAGGAGCTCTGGTAGCATAGTGGCTAAGGCGCTTGACTGCTAACCAGAAGGCTGGCAGTTCAAACCCACCAGCCATTCCTCGGAAGGAAGGTTGGGCAATGTACTTCTGTAGTGATACTGCCTCGGAAACCCAAGGAGGGGTCGCTATGAGTTGGGGCTGACTCGACGGCACATAACAACAACAACAACAACAATCCATGAGCATGATATATAGTCTTCCATTTACGTAGGTCTCTTTTGATTTCAAGAATAGTGCTTAGTAGTTTTCTTAGTATAGGTCTTTTGTGTCTGATTATATTTATTCCTAAGTACTTCATCTTTTGGTTGGTTATTGTATATGATATTGCTTTCCTGATTTCCTTTTCAGAGTTCTCTTCATTAGTGTAAAGGAATCTGACTGACTTTTGTGTGTGGATCTTGTACCCTGACACTTTGCTGACACTATTAATTAGTTCCAGTAATTTTCTTATTGAGTCTTTGGAATTTTCTATGTATAAGATCATATCATCTGCAAATAGAGATAGTTTTACTTCTTTGCCAGTTTTGATGCCTTTTGTTTCCCTTTCTTGCCTTACTGCTCTGACAAGGACTTTGTTCTGGTTGCCTAGTGCTGCTCTGTCAAGAATATACCACAAATGGGACGGCCTTAACAAACAGGAGTTTATTCTTTTACAGTTTGGAGGCTTTAAGTCCAAGTTCAAAGTGCCAGGCTTTAGGGGCTGGGTGAAAGCCCCTCAACTTTGGGGTCCAGCTCTGCCTCCTGCCCCCAGCCCACTGGAGCTAGGGGCATTTCTTCACTCAGACAGCTGCTAACTGCTGAGGCTGACAAACCCAAGGTTGACAAATAAAAAGGCACAGTTCTGATGTTATCAAACCACATGGCAGGCCGATAATTTAAGTCTGTTGTAAGTCCCAAGGTCAGCAGAGCATGGCAGGCTGCTGAGCAACACGGCTATGTGCAGGGTCCAAGCATGCCATAAGCTTGAGACTATCCCCAAGGCTTCTCCTTATATACAGGAATCAGATCACATTCCCTAAGGCAGCTACTCAGCTGCTCACAGTAGATACCACTATGGAGTTGATTACCAGTCTCATCATGAGGAATACTATATCCAGCTGCCCGGTCACTCAACCAGGCCCAGCCAAGTTGACACACAAACTGAACTACCACAGACTTCCAATACATTATTGAATGTTGTTGTTGTTATGTGCCATCAAGTCGGACCCGACTCATAGCAACCCCTCCTTGGGTTTCCGAGGCAGTATCACTACGGAAGTAGATTGCCCCATCTTCCTTCCGAGGAGTGGCTGATGGGTTTGAACCGCCAGCCATCTGGTTTGCAGTCAAGTGCCTTAGCCTCTATGCTACCAGAGCTCCTACATTATTGAATAGGAGTGGTAATAAAGGACATTCTTGTCTGGTGACCATTTGTAAGGGGAATGCTTTCAGTCTCGCCCCATTGAGAATAATGTTGGTCTTTGGTTTTGTGCATATGCCCTTAATTATATTGCATATTTTCCTTTTATTCCTATTTTTTCAGTGTTTTTCTTTTCTTTTAAATCAGGAATGGGTGTTAGATTTTATTAAATGCCTTTACTGAGTTGATTGGTATGATCATACTGTTTTTTCCTTTGTTTTATATATATGATAAATTATATTGATTGCCTTTCTAATGGTGAACCTTCCTTGCATACCTGATATGAATCCCACTTGGCCATGGTATACTGTTATTTTAAATATGTTGTTGGATCTATTCACTAGGATTTTGTTGAGAATTTATGGGTCCATGATTTTCTCTTTCAGTGGTGCCTTTGCTTGGCTTTGATATCAGGGTTATGCTCACTTCATAAAATGAATTTGGGAGCATTCCCTCCTTTTCTATATCCTGGAATAGTTGGAGGAGAATTGGTGTCAACTCTTCTCTGAATGTTTGGTAGAATTCACCCAGTGAAGCCATCTGGGCCAGGGATTTTTTTGTTGTTGGTAGTTTTTTGATCTGTTCAATTTCTTCTCTTGTTATCGATCTGTTCAAATTTTCTACCCCAGTCTGTGTTAGTTTAGGTAGGTAGTGTGTTTATAGAAATCTGTCCATTTCTTTAGGTTTTCAAATTTGTTGGAGTATAATTCCTCATAGTATCCTGATATTACCTTTTATTTTGATTGGTTCCATTTTGGCATTGCCAATTTTATTTCTTATTTGTGTTATTGCATCTTCTCCTTCTTTTCCTTTGTTAAATTTGCCAGTGGGTTGTCACTGTCAAGATTTTATTAATCTTTTCAAAGAAGCAAGGTGTAATTTTAATGATTATTGCTATTGTTTTTCTGTTTCATTTCTTTCTACTCATATCTTTATTATTTCTTCTCTTCTGGTGACTGTAGGCTTATTTTGCTGCTCTTTTTCTGATTGTTGGAGATGATGAGTCAAAGTGTTTATGTTGACTCTTTATTCTTTTTTGATGTGTATATTTATTGCTGTAAATTATCCTTTTAGCACTGTTTTTGCTATGTCTCAAAGATTTTTGTATGCTGTGTTTTCATTCTTGTTTGAGCCAAGGAATCTTTTAATTTCATTTTTTTTTAAATTTCTTATATAGTTTTTAAGCAGGGTGTTATTTAGTTTCCATATTTTTCCCCCCTTGATCTTCCTGCTGTTGGTTTCTAATTTTATAGCATTGTGATCTGAGTAGATGAGTAGAAATTCAGAAGATTAATACTAAGATCTCAGAAATAAACAGCACATTGAAAGGGCAAAGTAGAATTGAATCAGTGAAAGATAGAATTAGTAACATTTAAGACAAATCTCTCAATACTACTTTGTTAAGGGAATAATCAGAAAAAAGAATGAAGAAAATAAAGAAAACCTAAGATTTATGTGGGACATCATCAAAAGAAATAACTTATGTGTGATCAGAATCCTAGTCTATTCTGATCTGTAACAGCCTGCAATTGTTAGCTGCTGGCCTATCTTATTGACCTAAATCAAAAAACAAACTTATTGCCATCAAGTCAATTCCAACTCACTGACTATGTAGAAAAAAGTAGGACAACCTCATAGGGTTCTCAAGGTTATAATCTTTACAGAAACAGACCGTCACATCTTTACCCTGTAGAGCAGCTGGTGGGTTTGACCACTGATCTTTCAGTTAATAGTTGAGCGCTTGAACACTTCACCACCAGGGTTATTTTTATTATTTTTGTTTTAATTGACCTGAGAGGCCATGAATTGCAATATCATCTTCATTTTAGAAATCTTAAAATGTGAGTAAGTATGTGTTTTAGAATTGATGAAATATAGTATCATTTTGTTTTCAGAAACTATGGTGAGGGAATAAGGATCAGATTTTGGGGACTGCCCAGGGAAAACTAGCTTTTAAATGCAGTTCTTTGCTTAATATTTTATTTATTTTTAAAATCAAAGTAGTCCCATATCTTCTTCCTTCCTGATTTATTCCTTTTTTTTTTTTTTTTTGGTTGCTTCCTGGGAAAAGATGGTGAGAGGTAAGATTTTGGTAGACTGCATGCCTGAAATGTCCACCCTGCAACATCTGACCAATAGTTTGGAAATAAAATTCTAGTGAAGAAGTAATTTTCTCTCAGAATTTTGAAGACTTTGCTCCATTGCTTTCTAGCTTCAATCCTGATTGTTTAGAAGTCTGTTGCCATCTGTTTTTTCTCTTCTAGGGTCTTCTCTTTGTCCCTCGTGTTCTGAAATTTCATGATGATGGGTCTTAAAGTGGATTTGTTCTCATCATTGTGCTGGGTGCTTGATAGGTGCCTCTAATCTGGAAACTCATGACCTTCTGTCTGGGAACATTTTTTGAGTTTTTTTCTTAGATGATTTCCTCCTTTCTGTTTCCTCTCTTCTCTTATACAAGAATTCCTTCTATAGCTTAATAAGTAAGGAATGCCTGCTTTGTGGATTGTGCTCTTTTAAGAACTATCTATATGAGATCAAATTGACAACAGCAACTCAGAAGAGTAGATAGGAAACTTAGGAGGCAGTGAGTTTATGTTAATGGGGGAGGAACAACTCAGAAAAGGAGGGTGAGAATGGTTACATTCTTGAAGAATGTAATCAATGCCACTGAATTGTACATGTAGAAATTGTTGAATTGGTGTATGTTCTGCTGTATATATATTCTCAACAAGAACAACAAAATTATTTTTTAGATGACTATTAGATTCTTGATTTGATCCTCTAATTTTCTTATCTTTTTTTCTTTCATTTTCCTTCTTTGCCTTTTTTTGTTTGTTTGTTCTACTTTCTGATAAATTTCCTTGACTTTATCCTCCCACCCTACCATTATGTTTAAAAACTTTGGGTATCATGTTTTTTAATTTCCAAGAACTCATTTGTGCTGTGGACTGTTCTGTTTTCTTTCTTATTAATGGCATACAGTTATCTATGCTGTAGATTCTTTTATCTCTTTAAGGATATTACATTTTTTTTTTTTAAGTTTTGTTTTGCTGCCTATGTTCTCTCTGATTCTTTCAAGTACCTTTTTTTCCATTTGTTCCTCTTGTTCATATTTAAGAGGAAAGCACTAAAAAATACTATAAGTCTAGATGTAA